GGGCGGGGAGTGTGCGTGCGTAGCCATCAGTGGCGAGCACATGTATGTGCATGTGAGACTGAAGACTTTCTACTCGCTGCCTACGAACGATCAGAAGCTGCAGTGCTCCTGTCAGCGAACGGCTCAGCACTCAAAGATCTGGATGTCAACAAGGTGGTCGAGGTGTGAGAGGGCGTGAAGCGATGAGATGCGGGGGAGGGAAATCTCTTTCTGTGGGAGCAAGCAACATTCCTGATTGTTATTTCTCTTCTCCAAGCCACGCCCCACCACTCACTTACCTTGGTCGAATTCCTCAATCTGGCTGGACCAGGTGGACGAAATTTTCAGGAAGTTTCTTTTTTGCCTCTTGACATGTCCTGCTCTCTCACGTCAGGAGCTCGGAGGAGATTGCATCGCAAGTGAGTGGGCGTGATCAAGGATTGCAAGGCCATTCGATGGAACGTCTCAAGGACGAATTTTTTGCTCCTCGAATCGAAGCTGCTCACTCAGACTCTTGACTGCTCTTGCCCCACCTGCTCGATGACTCCGCAGTCCGAGTGGGCGGTCGACGTCTCAGCCGAAGCGCAGCTCCTGCGACCGGAGCGTCCGCGTCCGCGTCCACGAGTGCGCGAGTCAGGAGAGAGACCGCGCAGTGACAGCGAGGAAATGGACGTACGCTTGCCAAACATCCTTTCCTCCTGTGATGCGCGCTTCTATACAGATGCGAGCGAGGCGAGAAAGTGCCTGCGCAGCCCAAAATGCGGTGGGTGGGCATCACAGGCCGGCAGCAAGTCTGATGATTACCCTTGACCTTCTTCAAGCGCTCGAATCAAACAGGTGAAAGCTGAAGAGGAAGAGTCAAAGCACCATAGGGACCACGAGGAGAAGCATGAGCAAGGCAGGCATCTGCTATACGAGCGCCAAGCCCATCCAAGTCGAGATACCATCCACTTTGACAAGCGAAGGTCGGAAGGGATGGAACGCACGAAGGTCATCCAGCAACCAACCACCAAATCAGGAGTGTGAAGCGCCAAGTGGGCCCGAATCGCCTAAGAAATTGCTCGGTCGGCCCTTGACCTGGTCGCTCGCTCGGAACTCGCCTGTGCGTCTAAGAATGCTCGTTGACATGTGACAGTG